GGACGGCGTGGCGCTCCCACGCCAAGCTGCAGGAGACGTCCCCGGGGCTCTCGGGGCCGGGTGCCCTGTGGGATTTTCCTGCGGGCTGGCCCCCTATGCAGGACGGTGGCCGCCCCCGGGTGGTCTGCGGGCGACCGCTCGGGCCTCCCGCGCCCGATTGCCAGGAGGGGGAAGAACACACACAGGCACAATGAATCGTCGATTCCCCAGAGGATAGGGGAACATGTGGAAAGTGTGGGGGGGAAGACGAAGACCACAAGCGTAGGGAAAGCCTGGGGAATCTCTTCTTTTTTCCCCATATCCTAAGGATTGGGGTTCTTGTTATTATTCTGACGCCTCCCACTCCTCCTCCTCCCTCTTCCTCCCGCTCGCGCCTCCCTCCTCCCAATGATAATCACCAGATAAGACAAGACAAGATAAGATACTACAAGATAAGATAAGATAGCACAAGATATGATAAGAAGAGATTTCAAGATAAGATAAGATAAGTTAAGCTCACACTCACACTCTCTCATGATCACAAAACGCTGCCAGGGGCATCATTTGGGAGCCCCAAGGGGGAGCCACCCTGGCTGATCTCACGAGCCCGTTCGCGCCGATTTTGGTGGGACGTCTCAGCTAGAATTGCCGTTTGGCGCCCCCAACATGTATCTCTTGAGAGCCTCATGGTCACAAAACGCTGCCAGGGGCATCATTTGGGAGCCCCAAGGGGGAGCCACCCTGGCTGATCTCACGAGCCCGTTCGCGCCGATTTTGGTGGGACGTCTCAGCTAGAATTGCCGTTTGGCGCCCCCAACATGTATCTCTTGAGAGCCTCATGGTCGCAAAACGCTGCCAGGGGCATCATTTGGGAGCCCCAAGGGGGAGCCACCCTGGCTGATCTCACGAGCCCGTTCGCGCCGATTTTGGTGGGACGTCTCAGCTAGAATTGCCGTTTGGCGCCCCCAACATGTATCTCTTGAGAGCCTCATGGTCACAAAACGCTGCCAGGGGCATCATTTGGGAGCCCCAAGGGGGAGCCACCCTGGCTGATCTCACGAGCCCGTTCGCGCCGATTTTGGTGGGACGTCTCAGCTAGAATTGCCGTTTGGCGCCCCCAACATGTATCTCTTGAGAGCCTCATGGTCGCAAAACGCTGCCAGGGGCATCATTTGGGAGCCCCAAGGGGGAGCCACCCTGGCTGATCTCACGAGCCCGTTCGCGCCGATTTTGGTGGGACGCCTCAGCTAGAATTGCCGTTTGGCCTCCCCAACATGTATCTCTTGAGAGCCTCATGGTCACAAAACGCTGCCAGGGGCATCATTTGGGAGCCCCAAGGGGGAGCCACCCTGGCTGATCTCACGAGCCCGTGACGAGAAAGAGAGAGAGAGAGAGAGAGAGAGAGAGAGAGAGAGAGAGAGGAAGCGAGAGAGAGGGAGAGAGAGAGAGAGATCGGACAAGTAGGCGGACCAGGGTCCGTCCGCGAGGCGCACTGCGGTGCGACAACTCGCAAGCACTATTTGCGGCGGTGCAGCCTTAAGATACGAGGGCGGGCTACAAAACCCCCTCCCCCGGCGCAGTGCGACTGACGCTACAGACGGCGGACAGACGATGAAGATCTCACCTGACAGACCGCGTGAGGTAAAAGGCCCCAACAAGAAAGGCGACGTGCTGGCACGTGGCTAGGCGGCTTGGCGGACCGCCAGTTGGGCGCTTGGCCGCTAAGCGGCGCGCAGTGACGGGGCACCCCCCGCCCCCACGCCCTGACACCGTGGACGCGGAGCCACACGTACACACGGGCAGGCAGAAAGGAGGAGATTAGCGCGGGGCACCAGGTGGAGCGCCGCGGAACGATGACAACATAGCTTGGATGTTGAGTGACGGCACGACACCATCGGGCGAGGTCGTGAGCAGCTCGGCGAAGGCTCGCCCAGCGCTGTGGAGGCGCTGGAGTAGAGGACCTTGACGAGCTTGGGCAGCGGCGAGGTCCGCGGCGAGAGCTAAGCACCTCTGCTGAAGGGCAGCCATAGCCTGTGACAGCTCGGTTTCACGGTCGTTGAGAGATGGCTGCTCAGTGACATCCGCCGAGGATCTCGAGACAGGGGCGAGGTCCTCGGTACGCCTGTCCAGGTGGGCTGGCGGCGTGCGGGACCCTGAACGCTGACGTCCGTCACCCTTAAAAGGTGACTGGAGGGGCCGGCGCGACCCCAGGGCTGGAGCCGCTAGGGCCGCGCCCCGAGAGGTCAGGGGAGCCGCTTCCTCACGCTCAGCAACGGAGGAAGCGTGGGTGGGGCACGAGGGCCTGTCTGGTTTAGTACCCTGCGGGGGGGCTGAAGCCGCCCCCGCGGGTCGCTGACGATGGGGAGGCGGAGTGGTATGCGCGGTGGGACCAGTCGTGATGCCGTGCAAGGCCGCTGAGGTCGGTCGCGTAGAGGGTTGGTGACTCGGTGGGGCGGCATGGTCGGCAGCGTGTGGTGTCGGCGGTGCGTCCTCAATGCCACCCAATCCTCGGGGGGCGCTC